CTGTGGGTTAATGCATTGGACTGCAAAGTCGGTTTGAATCGCAAGGTCAGCAGTTCAAGCTCACCAGTGGCTCCTTGGAATCCCTACACAGGGTCGCTATGGGTCCAAACTGACTTGCCAGCACTTAGCAACAACAATATACTCAAGATTGTCATTTGGCACTTCCTGGATTTCTTTTCATTTTCTTCAGTTTCAACTTGAACTTGAGCAATTGACGGCAGTATTCAAAATGAGGAGGAAGGGCAGCAGACATCCATGCCTCATTGGAACATGGAATGTACAAAGTATGAATCTAGGAAAACTGGAAGTTGTTACAAATGAAATGGAATGCATAAAGATCAATATCCTAGCATTAGTGAGCTGAAACAAACTGGCTTTGGCCTTTTTGAACCAGACAATCATATGGTGTGCTATACCAAGAAAGCTAAATTGAAGAGGAATTCACTGTATTCACCGTCAAAAAGAATATTTCATGATCTATCCTAAAACACACAGTCTCAGTAATAGTATATCTCCATAAGCCTACAAGGAAGACCAGCTGATATGACTACTGTTCAAATTATGAACAAACCACCAATGCCAAAGTTCAAGGAAATGAATTTTTGCTGACATTTGTTATTATTGCTTTTGTTGGGCACCATTGAGTCAATACCGACTCATAACGACTTTATGCATAACAGAACGAAACCCTGCCCAAGTGCCATACCAACTCCCTATCGTTACTGAGTCTGAACCCATTGCTCTTTGTTACCACTGTGCCAACCCATCTCGTTTTCTCAGACCCTCCACTTTACCAAGCATGATGTCCTTCTCCGGGGACTGATCCTTCCTGATAATATGGGCGAAGTATGAGAGACAAAGTCTGGCCATCCTGGCTTTTAATAAGGAACATTCTCATTGTATTTCTTGTAACATGTTTGTAGCCTGAAATTTACCAAATGTGCAATCAAAACTCATTGATAATTACTGGTGATTGGATGCAAGCGTCTACAAAGAAGAATCAGCAGTTGCAAACTGTGTCCTTGGTGACAGAAATGATAAGAGAGATAGATGTATAATAGAATTTTGCAAGACCAATGAACTATTCGGTGCAAACGCCTTTTGTCAACAACATAATCGTTGACTATATACACGGTCCTCATCAGTTGGAATATGCAAGAATCAAATCAATTAAATTGTGGAAAGAGATGATGGAGTTCAGTATTCTCAGTCTAACAAGGCCAGGGGACTGACAGCCAAGCAGACCCTCAATGGCTGATATGGAAGTTCAAGCTAAAGAAAATTAAAATAAGTCCATGTGAACCAAAACAGTCCTCATAAGCAGTTCTACTCTGTCACAAGGGCTGTGAGTGGAAATCCACAGCATGGAACCTAATAACAGCAACATGATAATTCTAGGTTTAGTTTGAAAGTTTTAGTTTTCCCACGTTGGCTGAACCATTTTACAATCCCACCAGTGAATGGATTGTTGTTGTTGTTAAAGCTGTTGAATCGGTTCCGACCTACAGAAATCCTGTATAGGGTTTTCGAGGAGTGGTTGGTGAGCTTGAACCACCGGTTGCAGTTCAAACCGACTTTGCAGTCTGGTGCATTAACCCACAGCGCCACACCAGGATTCCAGGAGGGATCCAATGTCTCTGACCCAGGAAATTCTTATGGTGCCCCCTAGTGGCCAATGTTTTTGTTTCTTTCTCTGTAGCCAACAGAGCTTTCCCAACTGCCCACTGTTTTCTGGGTCTGTATGTACACTGGGTGAAGATTAAAGAGCACAGCCTTCGATATGGATTACAT